TACTGGCCGTTAGTTACAAATAACTATTCTCCAAATAAAACTACTTCTGACTGCGCCTTTCAGACAATTTATAGGGATGAGGAAAAATCCCTACTGACTCATACACTTACTCATTACTAAAGGTTTGTACTGTAGTATCCTAATTCCATCACAAATAACATTACATAATGCATAAAATAACCATTTATTCAGGCACACCAAAGCTTCTTCGTGCCCAAAGATTTATGATACACTTAGAGAATTCTTTGCAATGCTAAAGAAACAATGTAGAGGTCCAGATTAAGCATTGGCTTAAAATCTGCTAAACCACATGGTCAGAGTGATAATTAGCTTCTGGCAAAACAACTTGTTTATCGAGCTCAACAGAGACCAAAACATTCTACAAACAAGACAAAATACTTATTTGAATAAACATTTGATGCATTCCAGGTTATTTAATTCAATGAGAACATTTCAAAGACCAAGTTAAAATTCTACTAGTCACTAGGGTTTGTGAAATCCATTGGCAGAGTGGCCGTCAAATCCCTGTGTTCTACAGTTACAGCTGTTCTAATAGACCTGACAAAACATACCCGCATAACAAGCAGCAACATTTACACTTTATGTAATGCCTAGTTCTGCTGTTGTACTGGCCAGCAACATATATTTTTTTATTATAGAGGGGGTGATGAATCTTTTCATCACTAAACAGTTCAAAAACAGCTCTACAAAAAGTAGCAGTATGAAAATACTCAGGTGGAACAACTTCAGCTTTCAGAACTGATGTACTATTCTGACAGAACACTTGGCCAAAGCCACCAAATACAATGCAATTGTAACTATAAAATGACTAAAAGTACCACACTGTGTTACAATAGCAGGAATATGCCAGGATTGACAGCTCAAGAAACTGACATTCCTATTATTCCACAATGATGACTGACATTCCTAGTTTCACAGAAAAGGTTCTGAGAAGAAAATGCCTGGCAAAGAAATGAAAAAGCCTTAGCTCAGAAATGAGAAACATTTAAGCAACACGAAAGCCATTATATCACGCTCAGACACACTATTCTGCCCATTGTTCCCTAAACCTCAGTGCATGTGGAACCCTGCAGGGCAGAAGAGCTGCGGTGCCTCCACACAACTATGAGAAGAGAGGAGTTTGCTCTGCAACTGCAGCCAGTGCTATCAGAGCAGCAAACACAAAGTTAGACAGTCTGTATAGTCAGATCGTTCCTCTGAGATGGGCACAAATCAGTCCGATTCTCCACGGTTCATTTATTTATTCGGGCACACCAAAGCTTCTTCATGCCCAAATATTTATGATACACTTAGAGAATTCTTTGCAATGCTAAAGACACAATGTAGAGGTCCAGATTAAGCATTGGCTTAAAACCTGCTAAACCACATGGTCAGAGTGATAACTAGCTTCTGGCAAAACAACTTGTTTGTCGAGCTCAGAGACCAAAACATTCCAGTTTAAGAGGCTACAAACAAGACAAAATACTTATCTGAATAAAAATTTAATTATACTCTTAAATATAAACAGGCACTGGTTTTCTCTGAATGCCCTAAAGAAAACTACAGTCTTAACAGCATAACACTTTCAAGGGAAAAACAGCTGTAAGATATGCAGCTCACCTTTGTGCTTCAGACTACTGTTGTTGTTATGATTCTGATGCAGTCCGATCTGATGCAGAGGCAGCACACACACAGACAGAGGAGTGCACCTTCCCCAAGCCTCCCTTTAACGTTCACAGACACGCATGGCTCAAAGTACACCCGCCCCTAGTGACCTCATCTGGGCACTCAACCATTCAGCCAGAGTTTAACGTCAGTATAAAAACCATACACCATGGAATAACAAAAGCTCAACTACTTTACTGCTCGCAGGAGAAAGTGGGAAACCAGCCATCTTGCTGCCAGTGCACATAAGTGTTAGCAGAGTAAATTATACCATACGTCAAAGTTTGGCAGCAACTATTATAAAGCTGCACAAGCGATAACAGATAGATGTGAATCAAAATCAGTAAAAAAGTAGTCATACATTTCATAACTCCGCTTGAAATTATCAAAAAGGGTCACCAAAGGCCAAATAGAAAACACATTACATCCTAGGGTGATAATTTCACCAGGTGTAGGTCCAACTGCAGATGGAGGTGGTGATGCTGCTCTTGCCCTTGACAGGAGATAACAGACCAGTGGCCAAGGTTAGAACCCTTCAGCATTTTCCCCTGCCAGAGGTGTTAGGTCTCCCTACTAGCAATCAAAACATGGCCACTGGCTCAGGAGTTGAGGAATGGCTAGAAAGTCAACATATCTCACAAACAGGAACAAACTTTCTCAGAGCCCAGTTGTTATTTGCACAATTTGCATTTTCCCAATTGGCATTTTTCCAAAGGCAAATTGGAACTCAGGGAGAGGACAGCCAGGCTCTGACACACACACTAACATGGAAACATGATAAGGGCACTTAAAGGTGATAATCACTTGAATATGTGATTAGACAATACATTCGTATCACAATCCACAGAGTATCCAGGTCCTAAGGTTTTTAATTTACAGCACACTACAATATCCTGTCTTGGTCTCCTCTAACACCCCACTGTATGCTGCTTGCAGACAATTCATATGCTCTACCATAAGGAAAGTGTTAAATTACCATGAAAAAAGCTTAATCATATACAGTAACAAGGCTACAGTATTAGCGTTTTCTCCAATGAATAGACCCTTCTTCAAATCATAAGCAGCCTAACTACAATTCCAATCGAATCAAAAAATCTTTCAGGAGGTCTTTCTTAAAGTTGGGCGCAAAACATTGAATATCTCCTCTTTTGACAGTCATACCAGTGAGTCAACATGCCCAGTTCGGCTATAAAGAAAACTTCTGCTCGTAGCTCACAAAGTTATCCAACGTTTCACTAAACCATTCAAGTTTAATCGAATTTTATGACAACAATTGTGGTTCATAGCAGAAATTGCTTATTATTGCTAAGAAAACCGACAACTTACCACAAATGTCCTTGACAACTGCATACGGCTGGGCGATAAACTTCGAATACAAGACGTTCCTGAATCGTCTCCCGCTGGTATTTCAGTAAAGTAACACTGTATCGCGTTATCAGCAACAACTACTTGATACAATGTAGCCTACTGCGTTTCTGCGGCGCTCAGAGCACGCGCTCTTTCACCCAATTTCTCTCCTGTGTCTAATTCCAGCCTTCTGTTTCTCTGATCGTTCCGATTTGGACGGTAATCTGAATATAATTTCAAACAAACTCACTCCACAGAACAACAACAACCGGGATCAACGTCGACGGCGTCATGTTTCAGCTAACGTTACAGCCAGGCTCGTGATGCCCTTCTAGCGGACACAGTTACAGCCTGAGTGTCTCCGTAGATAAGGACGAGGCAATACCGATGACAGGCAAAGCACACTCCACGCACTAACCAACTAGTCTGGCCTCTTCCAGGAACGAAGGCACACCAGTACAAAACTCCTCATGAGCGCCTCAATAATCGGGAAACTTTCCAATGCCTTAGGAGGGTTTATTCTATATGTTTACCAGTTCCCGTTTACATTATGCATTGATCCCCTGGCTTCTTCGATATACTAATTAATCGAATATACTATTACAACTACCATACTACATTGTTAATGGTTACAAAGTAAAATAAATAAACATGATTGTATGAACCCTCTCAAAACAGCTGAGGGGTCCACGTCACAAAGCCCCAGGAAATACGTCATGGCAAACGAGGCCATTGGTAAAATGCACAGGATTTGGACAGACCTTCTGCTCAATAGTAATATACACAGTAGCTCCATCTGCTGGAATAATCTATAACAAATATTGTCTGTACAGGAAATCTTATTTTTTCATTTTTTTTTTTTTCACCTTTATTTAACCAGGTAAACCAGATGAGAACAAGTTCTCATTTACAACTGCGACCTGGCCAAGATAAAGCAAAGCAGTGCGATAAAAACAACAACACAGAGTTACATATGGGGTAAAACAAACATAAAGTCAAAAATACAACAGAAAATATATATGTGGTCCTCTGTAGCTCAGCTGGTAGAGCACGGCACTTGTAACGCCAAGGTAGTGGGTTCGATCCCCGGGACCACCCATACACAAAAATGTATGCACGCATGACTGTAAGTCGCTTTGGATAAAAGCGTCTGCTAAATGGCATATTATTATTATTATATACAGTGTGTGCAAATGTTGCAAGTTATGGAGGTAAGGCAATAAATAGGCCATAGTGCAAAATAATTACAATTAGTATTAACACTGGAATGATAGATGTGCAAGAGATGATGTGCAAATAGAAATACTGGGGTGCAAATGAGCAAAATAAATAACAATATGGGGATGAGGTAGTTGTGTGGGCTAATTTCAGATGGGCTGTGTACAGGTGCAGTGATCGGTAAGGTGGTCTGACAACTGATGCTTAAAGTTAGTGAGGGAGATAAGAGTCTCCAGCTTCAGAGATTCCTTACAAATGTGTTGTACAGATAAAACCTAGATGAAAGGGGATCAACTGCAGTTTGCAGTTCTGCTTTGCAGTTCCGCGACCGGGAGACCCATGGGGCGGCGCGCAATTGGCCCAGCATCGTCCAGGGTAGGGGAGGGAATGGCCGGCAGGGATGTAGCTCAGTTGATAGAGCATGGCGTTTGCAACGCCAGGGTTGTGGGTTCGATTCCCACAGGGGGTATGAAAAAATAATGTATGCACTAACTGTAAGTCGCTCTGGATAAGAGCGTCTGCTAAATGACTAAAATGTAAAATGTAATGAAGGCAAGTGCTCTGCAGAGTCTCCCAATATTCCACCTCTTTGTGTGTAGAGAGGAGAAGTATTGAAAGGAAAGAATAACACAGAAGCCCTTGCTTTGTGATCACTGTTGGTTACTAAAGTTGCATTTATTTTAATCCATCAAGCCAATCCTTTTATACACAATCTCTCTCTCTCTCGCTCTCTCTTTCTTTCGCTCTCTTTCTCTTCCTTCGTCATTTAGAGTTGTTGCTTTACTCACTGTGTCTTCTGTTGTGGTTCATGTTTTCCTATATCGGGTGTTTTCTGAGCTATTGGACCCAATGATCAAAGAGAGACACAATGGTTATGACCCGAGGATAATGATACACCCCACAGACCTGGATGCAAGCAAGGTACAGAATGATGGGAATGTCAATGGACATAAGTATAGAAATGTCATTGCATCAACCACCCAGTTGACTAGGTATCAGACCTTCTACATATCTACATTCTAAACTGTTCAAGTGAGCCAGTACTTACCACAGTCTCTTGTCAGATCCGGGCAGGTCAGTTTGATGAGCGCTACGTGTCATTGTCACGGGCCTGAGCATCCGAGGGCTGAGCCTGTGGACAGTACAGATGACTGACCAGGAGCAGCAGCTGCCCATTGATGTGAGGAAAACACAGTCTGCACCACACACTGCTTTGGAGAATTGTTTTTATTTGTTTCATTTCCTTATTCTAGCACTGAGATGCATAACACTTGTTTTTGGAGTTCACAGGATCACTTCCTGTTCGATATACCAGTGTCCCCCCTGGTAAGTATAATGGTTTGATAAAAGCACAACTCTAAAACCAAACAATAGAAAGCATTTTAGAAGCGCTGAAACCTATCGATAACCCATTGGTCTGGAAAGGCACAACAACCAGAATAACTTCCTTGTGTGGATCAACGAGGAGGACCACACCCGGGTCATCTAGATGGAGAAGGGCAGCAACATGAAGAGGGTGTTTGAGAGGTTCTACAGAGGACTCAAGGAGGTGAGCCCAGCAGAATCAATGATTGGATTCATTGCCTACACACACACGTTAACTGTGTCTTAAATGACACTTAAACGTTTCATGCTTTGTTGTCATCACCACCAGGTGGCGTGACTGATCATGGAGAAAGGCTGGGAGTTCATGTGGAGTGAGAGGCTGGGTTACATCCTCACCTGCCCCTCCAACCTGGGCACTGGACTCAGGGCAGGGGTCCACGTCAACCTGCCTCATCTCAGCAAGGTCTGGCTTTTACCACCTCACTCACCTATGGGTTGACACACGAACAGCCATATGAAGAAACTGTGCTAAGGGGATCCCTGTGCTGAGCTGTCCTTCTCAAATTCCAGGATCCTAATTTCTCTGTTTGTTTTTCTGTTGTTTTTTACTAGGTCCATCGTTCTGCAGAAGCGAGGTATGGGCGGCGTGGACTCAGCAGCTGTGGGCACAACCTTTGACATCTCTAACCTGGCCAGACTGGGTGAGTCAGAGATAAGACACTGCATCACTACACCACAGAATAGATACGCAACCGACAGTGACAATCATAATATTCAGCTTTAATAGGCAGTTGTAGAGAGCGTAGAAAGAGTAGGTTATGTGTGTTTGTGTGTTGCATGTAGGTCCAGCTGGTTCAGAATGTGATTGATGCTGTTAACTGCCTGATTGAGTGTGAGACAAGACTGGAGAGAGATCAGGATATCCCCAGCTGTTGCTGCTTTACATTCACAAACAATATACTTAAATAAAGCAAACGAATCCAAATCATTAACTGTGGTCCTCCAAATACTTTACCTGAATAGCAGATATAAACTCTTCAGCTATATATCAATACATTCAAATTAAACTTGGGGATCGACCAGTAATTGTTGTGTACTATACAAAATGAGGTCATTATGGGTGCTTGTTGTCACCATATTGCATCTAATCCTCTGAATTGTGTCCTACTGCCCTATTTTCCGAGAGGCGCTTTTATACTTGAATCGAATTTAATGAGTGCCCTCTACACTGTAACCATAGTAACAGAGTAGCATAATCCCAAACACACAGACACATCAGAATGATGCATGTAGAGCAGGGTTATTCAATTCCGGTCCTGGAGGGCCGAAACACTTCTGTTTTTTATTTCTACCTGGTAGTTAATTGCACTCACCTGGTGTCCCAGGTCTGAATTAGCCCCTGATTAGAAGGAGAGGATGAAAAACAGAGGTGTTTCGGCCCTCCAGGACCGGAATTGAAGAACCCTGAAGTAGAGTATGTCAGGCATTAGAATAGCATGAGGTGGACAGTTCATTCCAGGATACAAATGGAACACAGTTCAAAATGTTAGGTTTATTTTTAAGTACAAATGTTACAATTCGATAAAAGAAGGTCAAAGAACAAATAAATACAAATGGGTTACTGTGTGTTTTACAATAGTTGCCATAACATACAGCATAGAGACAATAAGCACACAGTGAGGCTGTCAGCTGACCGTGCTGCCGGGGCCACATTCCTCCCTGTGGACGCAGACAAAACATAGTTACTGTTAAACATGACATTATGATGATATTGGTATGAATTTACATACTAAAAACATAAATCATTGAACAAAACCCATCAATAAGACCAACTGGTTCTTTCCCTCTTTCTCATGAAATGATCCCAACCCCCTTATCTTTACCCATGTCCCTGAGTCCTTACCCTTTGAATCATTACCCCTGTAAATCATTACCCCTGTAAATCCTTACCTCTGTGCTCTAGCAGGACGTCCCCCTCGTACTGCGCCAGGCCCAGGGCATGTCTCTGCCCACTGTTCAGCTCTGCCCACTGCTTTTCTGTGACCACCCACGCCTGCTCCACATTCAGCCAAGACAGCTGGACCGCACTGAATACCACCTGACAGACACACACACATATCGTGCATCAACTAACAAAATGGGATGTGGTTTGGAGAGCATTATGTAAACAGCATTATCCAAACCAGCTCTTAAGTATCCTGAGGTGAAACAGAGAGAGACTCACAGCCATCTTCGTGGGGGGAATCAGGGCGATAGCTTCGGGGATGAGCCCCTCCACCTGCTCCTGTACCAGAGAAGACAGAACCATGTCCTCCAGACCCGCTGGACAGAATGAGGGAGGGAGAGACAGACAGGGAGGGAGGACTCAGGTAATGAGTGTGAGTGGATTCACCGCTCACTACCAACTCTAACTATTCCTTAGATTTAAGGATAAAATATTCTGAATATACAACAATACATCTTTCAGAGTTTAAACCCCTGCCCCATTTGAATAGCTGTACCTGCTAGTGTGCCGATCTCAGTGAAGACCTCGGGGCCCCAGGTACTGACGGGGCCAAAGGCCTGAGGACTGGAGAGACGGGCTGTCAGAGCCTCCATCTGCTGCTCTGAACACGGCAGGGCCAGCTCCCTCAGGAACATAGCAGCCATGCTGTCAGTCAAAGAGCAGGAGACCTCATTAGGATTGGGTTGATGGAAGCATTATCACAAAGTGGAATAAGACAGCAAAAAATGACATATTTTTGCCTTTTTGCACTATAGGCTGAGCTTTATTCACAAGGAATGTAATCTAACATTTATGTGGTGAAAATAAAGGGTGTATTTCTAATACTTGACTGACCTGAGGTTGTAGGGGTCCAGTCGGTTGATCTCTGACAGTGTTAAACCACAGAGCAGGTGTCCTAAAGAAGCCACTTCTACAGCTCCGAGCTGCTCCACCTTCAACTTCCGCTTCCGCATCACACCAACAACTGCTGCTCTCATCTGAAACAAGACACAGGGATGAAGAGTTAAACAACCTACGCCAGGAGTGGGCAATCCCTCCGGTCTACAAATATCACACATGAGATAGGAATATGGGAGCCTAGTCACCTTTTTTGGGCCCCAGTTGGTCAGAGCCCCCAGGTGGGCCAGGACACCCAGGTCAGTCAGGTTAGTATCCTGGAGCTCTCTCTCCCCCAGCTCAGTGACCACACAGCCCAGCCCCAGGACCTGCTCTGGCCTCAGGCCTCTAACTGGACTGTAGTCCTGGAGGAGGGTGAAGGATAGTTCACAAGATACACAACACATTTCCACTGTCAATCTTTAGCAGGCAGTGATGAAAACCAAAACGTCTCTGATGTTCTGAAACTAACCTGCCTGAGCTTTACCCACAGTGCTCGGCGCTGCTCAGGGCTCAGTGAAGCGTCCTGACCTATGACCTCCACGCACTGCCCCAACTCCTCCCCCGCCATCCGGCTCAGCTGATTGGCTGTCCATGCTGAGGGGAAGGTGCCTCTTATGTCACCACAGCTTGGGACAGGCACTGGATAGAAGACATGGGGCCGCAATGAGTTTAGAACCACAACACATTATCATCAAGCTTTTCCCTTCAGAGCTAGTGGGTATGATACATTTGTGATATAGAGGATCAATAGATGACCTTTTCTCCTCCTGCTCTGTGCTCTGACGACCCCCCGTATGAGGCTGTGGATCCTCTCTCGCTGGCCCTGCTGGTCCACACACCGGGACACACAGGCCTGACCCACATCACTGTTCTCCCAGCGCCACTGACCTGCTAGAACCTCCTCCACCGTCTCTGCACTCAGCACCACCTGATAAATGGTAGTAAAACACACACTTAGCACATCCTGCTAAAAGTACACGCATGCAATCACATACAGTACTGCAGGGCTTTATTTGTCATCACCCAATGATAAAGTAATGTCATTATAAAGGCACTTGATGTTTAGCCCATTGGAGCCCTCACCAGTGGGATGGAGTTGATCTGTTTTGGAGAGAGAGTGAACACCAGTCTGCCAACAAGCTCCACATCACCAACCGTCCACACCGATGACTCTCTACAATAAACACACACACACACCAGCTTTCTGTTATAAATGCATACATGACAGATACCCACAAGCCCAGTGCTGCCATAATCAGCTCACACCCACCCCAGGCCTCCCCCACTACCATCTCCTGAAAGACAGACCCAGCTGTCTCTCACCCCAGCAGGTCTCTCCCAGTGAGCAGAGCAGCCATGTCCCTCAGGGTGTCCCAAGGCAGGCAGTATCCCCTCAGCTCATCCAGCCGCAGCCCCAGGGCCCCTCTGTCCACCAGCCCCAGGGTGTCCCTGTCCAGGAAGGGCAACAGGGGCCCCAGGAGGTCCACAGAGGCCCCCCTGAGCTCCCCCTCAGCCAGGCCCTGAGAGGTGCCCTGGATGGACACACCAGAACATAGTTACTACAGTATAATTACTGCAGGTACTACAGTATAATGACTCTACAGCTGACAACAAAGCACAATCCGTTTAGCTGATTATTAAGTATTGTAATGTCATGCATTCCACCCCTGTATCATTATGTTTGGGTGAATTGATCAATGTGTATGTTTTATTAATCAGGATTTCTTGCAAATAATATTATAGTCTCTCCTCACCAGCACAGTGATGGCCTTTTCTGCTAAGGCCATCTGCTTATGACGGGGCAGCTTGAGGAAGTCCACAAAGTGCTGCTGAATGTGAGCCAGGATGGCTGTCAGTGACGTATTAGATAGGTTCTCAATCAGGTTCACCCTGGGACAGCAGGAATAACCAGATTCATCTTGTATAGAGAAAGATTAAATGTTGGACCATTTATACAATATATTTTGGAGTGAATGATATCTTACGGTAATTTTGCAGCAAACCAGGGGCTTATACCGTCCAGGTCTTCCTCTGGTCTTTGCCGCAGCTCCTCTACAACGCATTTCCTCTGGTAACAAAACACAAAACATCTGAACAAACTAGTATGAAACAGGAAGCTCTGAAGAATTCCATGAATACTTTTCTTTACATTTGATATGCTAGATATAATACTATAGATAAAGAGATGTACCTAAATATAGATAAAGAAAAGGAATGGGTGAGAGAGAAAGAGGAGGGGCGGGGGACACGAGGGATACCATGTGGGTTGCTTGTGGTTCCTCACCAGAGCTGGTCTCACCCCTCCTGGCAACTCACTGACAAACTGAAGCAACTCTGAAAAGTCGGTTTCATTGGTCCAAAGCCTTAGCCAATCACAGCTCATTCCACCAGCAATATGACCCAAGTCCCTAAAGACCAAATAGATGATTGGATGAATAAATTGTATCTGGAAGACTGTATTGCATTTGTAATCCAGGTGAGGGAAACTGAATGAAACTGGGTACTGACTGAGTCTCCAGTTTTTTCATGTAATGACTTGCATGAATATCACATGATTATTCAATAACACAGCACATACCCATAACACCTAATAACATTTGACTTACTCTACAGTTTCTCTGGTAATGATTTCAGATTGATGGGTCCTCTTGAAAAGGAGCTGAGCCTATATAATTCAGAAAGACAAGAGTGTGTGTGAGAGAGAGAACATGTGAATCTAATACACCCTTGGCTGTGACAAAATCTCTTTAAGGTAGGCATTACTAATTGATATTCCCCCTCCAGACTATTGTACTACATCCAAACCAATTTGCTTGATGACGGCTGACGCATTTGGAGTATTAATATCCTAAATGGCTCATCTGAAGCATATCCAATGATTTGCAGATTAATGGGATCCCAGGCCCACACTGGCAGTTTGGCTTTCGCTCCACAGCAACAACAGTAATGATGCTATACCATAGCCAGAGGAGTGGGTGTTTATGTAGTGTTGTAGGCTCAGACAGAGCATAGTGGGGCTGGATGTGCACCTGTTGCGGGGACCAGGGCAGGTCTCTGTACAGGCTCATATTTCTCAGGAATGTCTCTCCATCCAGAACCTCTATCAGCTCCCTCAGGGGAACGAATGGCAGGAGACATTGGAGCTGCTCTGTCAAGTTCCTTGAGTTGATGGCTAAAGCCTTTAAAAAAAAAAAGCTAAGCATAAACAATGGAATTCGAATATGTGCCTGAAGAATAGTAATTGGCAATAGGTTAAGTACTGTACTTATGGAATTACTTCCAGGTAAATTCAATTGACTAGCCGTTTAGTCATATAAGGTAGTTGATGATTGACAGCATAATTGGTTTGTTAGTATTTAAATTCCACCATCTCTTTACTGTGTCATCATCTGCTCTCAGTGTGGTAAGAAAGACAATGCAGAGCCACTGGAAATGATGAATAAAGAACAGTTTGACAGAGAGGAGAAAGTGATCTTCCCACAGAGAAACAAGAGCACCTTACTTACCTCCTGCAGTGCCCTGTGGAGCATGGCTCTATGGGCAGGCTTCAGGTCAGTCAGTAGAGTGCTCCAGCACTGGCAGTGAGCGGTTCCACTGATCTCAGACCAGTGTATGCCACTGAGCACAGCAGGGGATAGGCCAGGCAGTAAGGGCTTCAGCCTGCACAGTGTATCCATGGTGAGCTGGCAAGGAGAGGATCACCATGGAAATATGGCCTCGTTAGAATGCACAACAAGCTGTGTAGATTAAAACAGAACTGAAGAGGTCAGTAATAAGCCTTTACTTACATTAGTGTCTTGTGAAATTTTTGATAATATCTGGAACGCCTGGGGGAAGTTAAAAACAACATGTAATGTTCGCTCAGCATAAAACAACATACCGTTAGATTCAGTGTGTAGGCATAGCCCATGCAGTGCTGACCTGTGCTGGGGAGAAGCTGGGCAGGCCTGGTTGTGTTAGCATGTCCAAGAGCTGTAGTGAGGGCAGTGACTGCAGGAAGGAAGCCCCTAGCTGGGGCAGTAGGCCCCTGAGGGTGGCCAGTGCTGGAGGAGGCAGAGTGCCGGCATTCAGAGGCTGCACCGCCTGGACCAGCCAGAGGGACAGCTGGACACAGGGCAAGAGCAGGATCAACAGGGTCAGAGCCCCTCACATATGATATGGACTGTATACATATACAAATGTCAATACTGATATTTTGCAGATATCCTAACAGGAGTGTTGTAGGAAAAATATTGTCATACAGCCACAAAATGAACTTGGAACTTTTGGAGTGCATCCCAATTTTTTTACATGCAATTCTCTCTCACCCTGCCTGAAGCACTGATGTGTCCCTCAGACACACAGAGAGCTAGCTGCTGCCAAAGAGCAGAGGACACAGGGGAAGCCAGCAGAAACGGACGCAGTTCCTCTGGGTTCAGGTAACAAACCAGAACTCCCAGCCTGTTGAGATATAATGCCCTGGTATCTCTGGTCTAATACTCCGGTAACTGCACAAAGGGACACTGTGGCTCTGATCAGAAGTAGAGCACTATATACGGAATAGGTTACAACTTGAGACAAAAGACCCTACCTCGATATGTTATCACTGGTGAAGTTCATTTTTTTAATGAATAGAGTCCGTAGAACATGACGCCCTCTTGTTCCATCCAGACTGGTGTTTCCCAGCAACTCCACCAGGGGACTCAGCTGAAGGAGAGACATGATGACAGAGTAATGCCAATACAGTACACAATACTTCATGAACATTTCTGTAGGGTAGATAAGGAATGAGATGTCTAACCTGATCTGATGTCAGCTGCTGAAATTGGCTGACTGGGAGGTGTGGGAGCAGTGGGAGGATGGAGCTGAGGAAGTACGGTGGCCAAGAAGGGACATCTCCCACCACACTGGACTGCAGAAGCCTCTTCACAAATGCCTGTTTCTGTGGAGACTTCATCTCTGTGCTGTGGTCACGGATGGCCATCAACCTATGATACAACACAGAACCAGTCAACACGATTACCTTTGACCTTTGGCTTAAAATGGCAGCTCAGGCCTAGTCACTCACACACTGGTGTTGACCATCAGGGAGGCAGGGAAGCTCATGATGTCAGAGACGGACATGAAAGGGATGAACTGTGATAGGTCGACAAAGAGGTCAGGGGTCACACGAGGGAACTTGTGGATGAAGGCGGACGTCATGGTCTCCATGGCCTGCAGTTCTCTCTGAGAGGCCTGGGGAGACAGTGGTCTTTATTGACAGTAGTAGTAACTAAGTAACATCCCTACTTTCCAGCATCCATTACTAAACTGAGAGTGTTTGAGGACAAACCTGAGCGGTCTCTACGTGCAGCTGGTCCCAGCTCTGGTGCATGTGAGTTAGAAACCTCTTCACCGCATCTTTCTCTGCTGACATCACCAGTGTGCGGATACTCTCCCTGGGCATTTGGAGGTACTCCTGGAGAGAAAACAATGTGCACCATAATACAAGTGACCAGTAAATCTGCATCCAGGATCCCAACTACCCGTTTTATAAAGCTGTACACTACCTGCATTAGGACTCTGAGGGCAGAGGAGTTGTCCTCTCTCTGAATGAGGTCCCATAATACAGGCTGTCAGGACAGAGGAGGCATTCACATTACCTTCATGTGTCTATGTTTGTGTGTATGTGTTCTGTGTATCAGGCATGTGGCTTACACTGAAGCAGCTGAGCAGGTCCTCTTTGAGAGCTGCGCTCTGCTCCCTGCGCAGGAACAAGCCCACGGTTTGGAGCACGCTCAGTGAGGCGTCGGGACGCAGAGTGGCCCAGAATGAGGCATTGTCAAGGAGACTGGAGAGGAGGATAGCCTGACCCAGGCCCTGCCTCACCTCCCCCTCCCCCTCATCCAGCCCCGCCGAGAGCCCCACCACAAAGTCCAGTACCCTCAGCATGTACCCCACAGCCCCCACCCAGCCCCTGCGCTCACCCCCATCCACCTCACACACACTCAGCCTGTGCAGCGCCTCCACTAGCAGCGGAGCAGGACTCACACACAGCTGTGATGTGTCAAAGTCGTACGGCGCCGGGAGCATGTCAAAGAACCACTGGAGGAAGCACTTCCTGTCCTCCTGTTCTACATCCAGGTCAACACAAAGGTCAGAGAGCTGAGGATAGGCTGGGAGTAGCCGGCGGTACAGGGTGGTGTTGCTACAAACATAATCCCTCAGCCCCTCTGTACTTCCACAGAGCTCCAGCAGGGTGGCATTTGTGAAATGCTGCAGGCTCCACTTCCTGTAGTCACATGTGTCTTCTGTGGATTCAGGGTGGGAGGAGTTGTGGAGTCTGGAGCAGTACTCTGCAGCCCAGCTGCCCTCCGGAAGGGATGGGTGGGAGGGGTGGGCCTCAGGGGACTCGCTGCCACACAGGGCTGAGACCAGAGCAGAAGTGTTGGGCAGGAAGCAGCGTCTGAACTCCTGGGCACTGAGGGACCTGGTGCCCAGCTGGGCCAGGCAGGCTTCGTCAGGCTCTTGGCTGCCCCCGCCCTCCACCACCTCCACTGACAGCTGCACACACAGGTCATCTATACTGGACTGGTTGAAGTAGTGGTAGTCCTTTGTCTCTGCAGCCTGCAAACATCACAGGCAGTATGTAGTTAGACATTGTGGAGAAGTTAAAAAAGAGAGTTGAGAACACAACTCTTTTGCATTCAGAAGTGGGGTTTGATTATGGACTGTACCTGGTGTGCTCTTTGCAGCCAAAAGGAGGAGTTGGCACACACAGTTTTGTTGAACTGGTGGGCGTAGAACTCGCTGCAGATGTGGACCCACAGGAAGTCATCCTCGGCTGCAGACAGGTACCAGGCGGCGTCGGAACACGTGGCATGTAGGTCGGGTCCCATCTGACCGACCTCCGGGTCCACAGACCCATCGTCCCCGTCAAACAGGTTACAGTAGAGGAACACAGTGAAGTTGGACACCCCTGTAAGGCCTGGGATAGAGGCGTTACACGCTGCTTCCAGGATCTCTGCTGAGGCAAAGTACCCCATCTCTCTCAGGTGGCTGTGGCCAACTTCTACTGCCTCAGACTGGGGCTTGAGGAGACGGGAATGACGGGGTACTGGGGTTGGGCTGGGTGGTTGTTTCTGTTTGGGCACCCTGCGGGGTGACAGGGCTGGTTTAGGGCGAGAGGGGCGTGGTGGGGGTCTGGGGTCCCCTCTCTCACCCTCTGTGGAGGGGCAGGAGAGGAAGGGAGGGGTGCTGGGAGGGCCCTGCGAGCTGAAGCCCAGAGCCTGAGCATTCCACGTGACATTATGTCTGATCCCCCTACAAGTCACAGACAAGGGGAGAGAGTATGATAAACTATGGTACTACAGACAACATATATTTTCTATTAACCTCATATTCTTTGTGAGGGAAGGTTATGAAATGAAACCATCATGATGTATGATATGTTTGTCCATACTGTAGTTTATATTATAAGCTTAGTTTTTTCTCTATTACTTACCATAAGATTAGCTGTCTCAGGTCACCTTTGAAAAAATAGATAAAAGGGACTTTAATGGAAAATCACAGACTGTGGAATAGAGCTAGTGAATAGTATGGTAGATGAATGGTGGAAAAAGCGACTTGCACCATACAATCGGGCCTGATGTAACAGCATAGCTGGGCTCTCAATGCTCAGGAGATAGTGTTACTGGCATCAATGAGAGGGCAAAGAGATTAGCCAGGGCATGGGATGCAGGGTAACACCGATCCTCTCAATGACTAACATGGCCATTATGATTTTAAAGCAGTGTCAGTCCAAACAAACACTCTCATGTGTCATGTGTTTCAGTCTAAATCATTCATGACTAATGAGTAAGAGCTGTTTGAGACATATTATCAGCTTAGTATGAAGGGAAATGAAATTCAAGAGACTTTGATCAACATGTATGACCTGTCTCTGACATGTGTTTTAAAAGAGCAGCATGTATACTGAACAAACATTTATGTCTGTAAAAAGCCCTTTTGTGGGGTAAAACTCATTCTGATTGGCTGGGCTGGGCCTGGCTCCCCCCACCGATGGCTGCGCCCCTGCCCAGTCATGTGAAATCCATAGATTAGGGCCTAATGAATTTATTTCAATTGACTGATTTCCTTCTATGAAGTGGAACTCAGTAAAATCTTTGAAATTGTTGCATGTTGAGTTTATATTTTTGTTCAGTATAGCTAGCCACCAGGGTTGAGGCTCAATTCTAGTTGAATTCAGTCAAATTACGAGATGAGAATCCTTGAGTAAAAAAATCCTCAAGGAAAGAAATTGGAAGTATTCCATTCATACATTGAATTTCAGCTCATCCACTGAATTGACTAAATTGAAATGGAACTGACCCCAACCTTCCGGTGAATGGGGAGCATCATGGACTCACCTACGGAGCATCTGCCCTTATGTTTGGGCTGTGGCACGTCCACCACGCTGCTGACATCATCAAGCAGTGCCATGATAACGCGGGACACCTTTCTCCTCAGGTTGAGATACACTGAGCTGCCCACCCTGTGCAAGAATCCCCTTCTCAGGCCGTCCAATCCCTGCAGCAGGGCAGGGTTTTGCTCTGCCAGCTGCCCTGCCCTCTGCCCCCCATCAGAGCGCAATAAAGCCTGCAGGAGCAGTGTCTGAATGGAGTCCAGGTCTCCCCCCATGTCCCTTCTGTCCTCAACGTCCCCTTGAGTGGCATTCCCAGACAACCCCTCCTCTCTCATGGCCTTGGGGGGCATGCTGAATGGTTTCAGGCGCCCAAAAGCAGCCGAGCCCCCTCTCTGGTCGGCCCCCATCCCTGCAGGGTGCAGGTTCACCACGGGCTTCCAGTTGCGCGTCTCCATGAAGCGGAGGAACTGTGTTAGCCAGCTGACGCTGAAGGCACATTCACTGCGGCCCCTCAGGGCACAGATGAAGCCCTGCACCCCGGCACTGGCCTGGCCATAGGTCCCGCTGACCAGCGCCTGCAGGGCCGCCTCCAGCAGGGCACTCACTGTCCTCCAGTTCTGGGATAGGAAGTCCAGCAGGGGCCTGTGGGGCTGCCGCTCTGACAGGGACATGAGGCTCTGCAGCAGCCCCAGCAGCCCATCCCAGTGGGGGCTGCCTCTCAGGGACAGGAACCAGTCCTGGAGTCTGACGCTGGGCCTGGGGGGCACCCGGCTGTCCCACTGGTTCAGCGCAGCACCCCCCTCTGACTGGATAAAGGACTGCAGGACCTTCTCCCACAGTTGTTCCTCGTCAGAGACAAGCTGTCGCTCCTCCAGCTCAGCACCCATCTCCTGGAGGTACATGGAGATATTGTAGAGGAAGCCTGACAGACGGCGCCTGTCCACAGGCTTCTGGAGGGAGGGGAGGCCCATGCTCCTACTGGGCAGCAGGCCCAGGGTCTTCAGACCTCCCATTATGCTCCTCACCACGCTGTGGATCTGCTGGTCTTGGGTTCTCTCCAGGGAGGCAGGCTCTTTGCTGGGATACCACCCCCCTCCTTTACGCCATATTGATACCAACTCCTTGAAAATGGGCTCTCTTTGATCCTCTATTTTACTTGCTGAAAATGATGTTGAAAAGCCATATTTTGAGCATGATAGAGCAAACATGATTAATATCAAGGCATCATCACACCATTACACTACATCATAACAAGAAATGGTAAGCTATAGTCTCCTCACCTGAACTCTTGGTGGATGTATGGCCCAGTAAAACAACCAACAGTGTGATGCGCATGGCTCTAAACACCGCCATCTTCTCTACCACCTCCAAGCCAGTGCTGATGATGTCACAGTGATGTCACATCTGTCTCTGTGTCTGTGGCCTGTGTGAGTGATGTCATATCCCTGTATTTGGACTGCATCCCCTGTTACAGCCTTCCTCTGGCAATGGGTTGGGGTCAGTGGGGTGGACACGGGGAGTAGAGTGTCTCACTGTAGAGTGGACATTAAACCTTAATGACAGGCCACCGTCACCTGACCACCTTCCCTCTCACAATATAGGTGTATTACCATGGATTTCAATCAACTGAGGTATATTCTTTAGCCTTTCTATGAACTTGAAGCAGTTTTTAGTGAGACTTTGAAATATGAAATGCACAAAAGGAATACAAATACTGGTACTAAATAAGTTGTTTATCTATCCATGTTAAGAAATATTCAAATATCCAAATATAGAAATGATGAGAGTATGAAGATAGGTTAACATTTGCCACCTATGCATCTCTATCCATATTTGTTTGACGTCCCAAAAAATGCTAAACTGCAGTTATCTGCAATATCAAAAGGAGTATAAAGAGAATTAGAATGTATGGTACTCACCAATGATGCTCCATTCAATTCCTCAAATCCTTGATAATTTGTTTATTAGGCTTTGTGAATATCTCCACAACTTCCAGGTATAAATGTGCACTAAAACAACATTATATGACCTCTTTTCTCTCTGTCTGTCCCTCTCACTTTCAACTTCTCTCCCTCTCTCTGTTTCCCTGTCAGCCCCTCCCACCCCTACTCTCCCTCTCTGTTTTGTGCACTTGCTAACCCAGACCCTGAGACCCAGTTGGATGCATTAGGACCATAGCTTAGCCTCATATTTCAGTGGTATCCCCCTATCTTGTGCCAGCAGACTGTTTTCTAAGATGAGTTTAATGCAATGGAGGACAGCAGCCATGGAATGGACAGGACAATATATAAAGTGTTGTCTGTACGGCGCTAAGGTTGCATGTGTATAAAATAAAATCAACTTGATCAAACCTCTATGACCATGTCATAGTGTAGAGGTGGTCCCTTCTATCAAGGCATTTACTATACCAGGTTTACATTTTCCCATGATATGTGAAACAACCCACTTTTGGAAATAATTTAAAAAACGTATTTTGCTATATTTCAATAGTTCTTTGCACCTAATATGTTTATTTCAATGTTGTTTTGAAACAATACCAAGGTCAGGACTGTCAGCTTGCTGCACAAGCAGGGTGAAAATCTGAATGGTATTAATCACACCCAGACTATCTCTCCCATTCTCTAGCTGTCCCATGTCTCCCACTGACTAATTCTGTATTGAGCTGTCTCTCAGCCAGGGCTCATCCTGTGTGACTCTGGGTCTGTGGAGGTATAAGTTTACCCAAAGGGCCAAGCCAGCGCCTCTCTGTGGGCTGTCATAGAGCAGACACATCCATCCTCCGGTCACTGCAGCCACACAATCAGGCCCTGTACTGGGCCACAGCGGCAGGCTCCCTGGTGTCAGACCGCTGTCTGCAGGCCCCGTAACCTGAGTGGGGCAAGTGAAAGGACCCCTCCCTGCCCCCCTGGCCCTTTAACTCTGTGTCACTGTGGCCTGTGGTGGAACAATAACTTCCTTTTGTATTATTGATGCCGTAGGGAACAGCAGTCAGTCAGCACTGTGGGGTTCAGTTGGCTAAAGGAATATATAATGAGACACAGGATAGGCCCAGCCTCTCTATCTGTGTCCCTGCAGAACACACAGTGCACAGGGGAGGCCTTCAAAACAGAGGGCGCTGGAGAGACAAGGGACCTGTTTGAATACTTGAAGAGGGCATTCTTCCCATTGAGATAGATTCTGTATCTATCTCTATGATCCATCCATCCGCCCCTCTTGAAATAATCACTGGTTGGATGGGTGAAGACAAGGGTTCTTCCAAATAGCTTTCACCAATCTAGTCATGTCAGATCAGGGATTATTTCAAGGTAGGGATGATTTAAGGATGCATTTTCAAAGTGAACAAGTGGTACAGCCGTACCTTCTCCGCTATGCAATCCGGTTTCCGAGCTGGTCATGGGTGCACCTCAGCCACACTCAAGGTCCTAAACGATATTATAACCGCGATCAATAATAGACAGTCTTCATCGACCTGGCCAAGGCTTTCGACTCTGTCAACCACCGCATTCTTATTGGCAGACTAAATAGCCTTGGTTTCTCAAATGACTGCCTCGCCTGGTTCACCAACTACTTCTCAGATAGAGTTCAATGTGTCAAATCGGAGGGCCTGTTGTCTGGACCTATGGCAGTCTCTATGGGGGTGCCACAGGGTTCAATTCTTGGGCCGACTCTTTTCTCCGTGTATATCAATGATGTCGCTCTTGCTGCTGGTGACTCTCAGATCCACCTCTACGCAGACGACACCATTTTGTATACATCTGGCCCTTCATTGGACACTATGTTAACAAACCTCCAAACGAGCTTCAATGCCATACAACACTCCTTCCGTAGCCTCCAACTGCTCTTAAACACTAGTAAAACTAAATGCATGCTCTTCAATCGAACGCTGCTGGCACCCACCCACCCGACTAGAATCATTACTCTCGACGGGTCTGACCTAGAGTGTGTGGACAACTATAAATACCTAGGTGTCTGGTTAGACTGTAAACTCTCCTTCCAGACTCACATTAAGCATCTCCGATCCAAAGTTAAATCTAGATTCGGCTTCCTTTTTCGCAACAAAGCCTCCTTCACTCATGCTGCCAAACATGCCCTCGTAAAACTGACTATCCTACCGATCCTTGACTTCAGCGATGTCATTTACAAAATAGCCCAACACTCTACTCAGCAAATTGGATGTAGTCTATCACAGTGCCATCCGTTTTGTCACCAAAGCCCCATATATTACCCACCACTATGACCTGTACACTCTTGTTGGCTGGTCCTCACTACATATTCGTCGCCAAACCCACTGGCTCCAGGCCATCTAGAAATCACTGCTAGGCAAATCTCGCCTTATCTTAGCTCATTGGTCACCATAGCAACACCCACCCGTAGTATGCGCTCCAGTAGGTATATCTCACTGGTTATCCCCAAAGCCAAAACCTCCTTTGGCCGCCATTCCTTCCAGTTCTCTGCTGCCAATGACTGGAATGAACTGCAAAAATCTCTGAAGCTGGAGACTCTTATCTCCCTCACTAACTTTAAGCATCAGTTGTCAGAGCACCTTACTGATCACTGCACCTGTACACAGCCCTTCTGAAATTAGCCCACTCAACTACCTCATCCCCATATTATTTATTTTGCTCATTTGCACCCCAGTATCTCTATTTGCACATCATCTCTTGCACATCTATAATTCCAGTGTTAATACTAATTGTAATTATTTTGCACTATGGCCTATTTATTGCCTTACCTCCATAACTTGCTACATTTGCACACACGGTATATATATTTTATGTGGTATTTTTGACTTTATGTTTTGTTTTACCCCATATGTAACTCTGTGTTGTTGTTTTTATCGCACTGCTTTGCTTTATCTTGGCCAGGTCGCAGTTGTAAATGAGAACTTGTTCTCAACTGGCTTACCTGGTTAAAGAAAGGTGAAATAAAATAAATAAATAAATTTTTAAAGGATAGGATTAGGGGAAGGGTTAGCTAACATGCTAAGTAGTTGCAAAGTAGCTAAAAAATAATAAGTAGTTGGCAAGTTGCTAATTAGCTAAAATGTTGTCCGTGATGAGATTCGAACCGACAACCTTTAGGGTTATACGCCCACCGATCCATTTCATATTAATTTGAATGTCCTGGATTTACATTTACTATGTTATGTCTATTCTATGAGACCATGCTGGACCCTCTTACACCTATGTTATAACAGCTTTATTTTCCAAAGCATCTGTAGGCCAATTCCTGGCGATTTTATGAATCATTATATTACCCTTATTGTGTCAACAATGTTCTTGGACCACATTAAGAAACTGTTAGAGACTAAATTCAAATGTACTGAGCTCTCTAATTTTACTAATAGGACCTACAAAGACAATGTGGGTACAGTCTGAGCTTCTCCTTTTGACCTTGACAGGTTACGTGATGTTTACCTGTTGAGGAGCTTAATTTGTTTAGCAGGAAAAGAGGTTATTTGACTTCAGCTATCCTTCACATGTCACAAAAGAGAGCTTCCTTGTTGGTGGGCTGAACAGGCACAGGTACTGAGAGACCTCTCTGATTGATGGGCTGTACGGGCACAGGCACTGAGCCAACCGTTTGGTGGGTGTGTACAGGTACTTGATGTCAGGTACATAATAGATCAAGAGCAGCAAAGGGCTGAGATTCACTCCACCGGGATTGAGCACTGGGGCATCATGCAGAGGAAGATCAGCTTCACTGGGCTCCTCATTACTGCTCTGTTTGCAGTGGTTTCCAGTCTGGAGAAGGAGTACATCTATGTGGAACAAGAAATGACCTGGCAGCAGGCTCAGAAGTACTGCAAAGAGCACTACACTGACCTGGCCTCCTTCAAAAAGCTGTTGACAGAATGCCAAGAGTGTGCAAAGCTGTCATCAAGGCAAAGGGTGGCTATTTGAAGAATATCAAATATAAAATATATTTAGATTTGTTTAACACTTTTTTGGTTGCTACATGATTCCATATGTGTTATTTCATAGTTTTGATGTCTTCACTATTATTCTACAATGTAGAAAATAGTAAAAATAAAGAAAAACCCTTGAATGAGTAGGTGTGTCCAAACTTTTGACTGGTACTGCATATACAAATAGACCATTGTCATATATGGATCTGTGCCATTTACTTTGAAATGGACTGTGTTTACAGCATGAGCGGTCATGAGTAGATGTGCTTGTTTTGAGATCAAAGCGAGAGCTGCAGGTAGCCAAGTGTGCACATTTTGCTCATATTCTTTGCTAGTTAGTGAGTTATTAGCCCAGTTATAGATAATTTGTAGTCAGCAATAGGGGAGTGATTGCTTCCTACATTTCTAGACATCTTTGAAAAGCAAGTCAGGTTTTTCTTAAAGG